ATAAATTGTAGAAGAGCCACCATGTCTGGTAAGAGAAGTGAATGTGTTGCTAAAAAGTTGCGTAGGTCTATTGCGTTAGAAGGTAAGATGGACGTAATTCGTAGAATAGAAGGTGGTGATACCCGTCGTAATGTGTGCAGAAGTATGAAGTTGCCTCCTTCCACTGTGACTACCATAATGAAAAATTCATATAAAATAAAACAGTCAATGCAACAGGCTACGAGAGTAAGTGCAACGCAAGTGAGTTATAGCAGAAGTAAACTTTTAGAAAGAATGGAGAATTTACTGTTGCTATGGGTGGATGACATGAATCGAAAAAACATTTCCTTGACTGAAATTGCTATCACAGATAAGGCGAAGTCAATTTTTGAGGAACCTGAGTCGTCAATGTTTGGGTGCCAGGAACGCATGTCATTGACTTCCCATTGATTTACATTATAAAAAGTGTTTGAATTTATGCCGGTTCATCCAGCGACGCATCCCCGATATAAATCGAGGTTTACCTGTATTTATAGTTGTAAGTGAGTAATTAACAAAAATGATAAATCAACACATTTTATAAAGAAAATTCTTCTTCTTCTTTGTGTGTGTACGTGTGTGTAAGTATGTAACAGTCCTTGCCACACATCCAAAGTGACTCATTGAATTATGTGACTGTGGATTTCCACTTTGGCTTTATAACTGTAGGAACTATAGTAGAATCTCTTTCTTGGAAACCTCTTTTTACAATAAACCTTCTTATGACAATCGCTGTTCTGAATCCTAGTCAATATTTTTATATATAAATACAGGCATTGTAAAAAAGAAGTCTTACTATATAACAGTTACAATTTATTAGGTTGGTATAATGTTTTGGCTGAGATTTTTAAACTCTTATTGCCAGTAATTTAATTTATAATTTCTTTAAGATATGACTCAGTTCTGTTCGATGTAAATGTTTCTTTCCTTTGCTGTTACTAGGTTAGAATGAAAATTCTGAATGATCTTCCAAATGAAAGCAAGGAACCACTCCTCAAATTACACAAGTCTCTGAACACCAATTCAGTAGAAGAAGTCCTAAATTGTGTTGAAGGTGCATTGGGACCAGGAATTTGTGACATGATTCTCCGTAAGCCTGACAAAAAGAAAGAAAGGTGTGCAAAGAGATTGGACTGTGTAGAAGATCTTGTATTATCATATTTCCTCAATTTTACGATGCAGTCAGTTGTAAGACACGTCAATTCCTAGACGCCAGCAATTATAAGATGCGCCCCGATTTCAGAAGTTTTAAAATGTTAAAAATGTGCATCTTAAAATCAAGGAAATATGGTATATCCAGTGGCAGATTTTACTTAGCGCATAGTGGGGATCATCCCCACTGGTCCTCACTAGACGTAATATGTAAATGGATTTCCCTTGTTTAATAAAGACAAAATGTGTATATTTTGCAAGTGGTCTAAAATATTTTTAAAATTTTATTTTGCTTCTCTGATGTGTCTAAATATCCTGGTATTATTATAAGAAGGCTAGCTGTTACTTTCCCATTTTGCCAAATTAAGGGTGACAAGTATTTGAAAGATTCAAAAGGGAATTATCCTGTTTGATAATTATTTTGCTTTTGCACCAGTCTGAGGGACAAGGTCAAGGACTAACAGTATGCTATAGGTGGTGGCCAGTGACCAAATTTGTACTATATTGGAGTATGAAGATTTCTGTCTTCTGGGTTGTTGCGCTGTGTAGTCTGGTCGATGTTTCATCCCCCTGATGACGGAGGCAGTATGCCCTCTGAAAGGTTGGTTAACATCGACCAGACTACACAGCGCAACAACCCAGAAGACAGAAATCTTCATACTCATTGCCCTGATGACGGAGGCAGTATGACCTCTGAAACGTTGGCAAACATCGAACAGACTACACAGCGCAACAACCCAGAAGACAGAAATCTTCATACTCACCGCTGTGAAAACCTCAAATCTCATATATTGGAGTACTCTTTGCTATTCTTGTAATAGCGTTTGAAAGAATTCTGCTTTTGTTTTGCTTCAGATCACAGCTGCTAACACATCGCCAGGCTTTGTTGGAACAGCTTACTTCTTCAGAGGATCCAGCTCTAGTTTTGCACCTGGCATCATTAGTACTGTTTCAGGCGGTTACACAGACAATGTTGCATGCATCTGGACGATTTGTTTCTAACATTTTAACATACTTACAGTCGCACCTCACTGCTGAAATTTTCAAAACCATGCAGCAATATCACGGTGAGTTCTTTACAGAAAATATAAAACAACAGACACTTTTCCTGTAATCTGGGTAGTCAAAATTAGAAGCTGTTAATAGACTTTTGTCAGAATGTGTTCAAACTCTGCTCCTTTCGTAGCTTCTTCTTATGTTTCTGCCGTTTTATCTTAGGTTACTTGCCTGTTACAGCTTCATTCCACTAGTTTTGAGGATGATCAGTGTCTCTTCTTCCTTATGGCTGACAATTAAAAGCATTTCTAATTATCTTTTTCTTCTGTCATTCTCCCTGTGTTGTATCTGACTTTCTGTATATGATTTGTATTCAATTGTTTTCTTGACTGAAAATATCTCCAAATTTTAATTTTTTTCTTTCTTTCCATTTCTCACCTATCCAAATGAGTACAGCCTTTAACGCCTCTTAAAAATCTTATCTAGGCAGCATGTGTCTTACTTTTGTCTTTCTTTATTAAAACCTAATTTTCACTACCGTGAAATAATATCAGTACTTCTAAAACCTTGTATAATCTGAATTGTCTCTCCCTTCTTGCTTCTCCATGGACAGTCCTAATACCGATTGATTATTTGCGTTATTTATATATTTTTGTGTGTGATATGTAACATCCTAAATAGATGCAATTTGAAACTTATTCTAAATTGTATCTTCTACTGTAGTCTTTGTTTGGGTGGTGTATGACTCCAAAAATACCATAAATTTTGCTTCAAACTTATATCGCACCAGATCGGTTCTCATTCTCTTGATCACTAAATCTGATAACTCTGATTGTAGGACTTAGTTATCACTGATTAAGTGATGATAGTGTCGAATTATAAATCTATGATGCTGGAGAGTAAGAGGAAGACCAAGAAAGACATGCCAAAAGTATTTTTTTAATACCAGTACCAGCATTAAGTCGTCTAATCCGTGAAAACAAACTGAAGAAAAAATTTCTGCTGAAGTAACATAATACTTCGCACTAAAGTACAGGCTCATTAAGACCTTTTCCTAAGCCAGAGAAGTGAAATAAGTTTCAACTTTCTTTCAGACTTAGTGTTGAAGCTGCTGACATCTGGCGCAGACGATGATCATCGTTCACATATTGTGAATGCACTGCAAGAAGGTATGCTTGCCATCAAAGAAATTGCAACATCATTTAAAAAACACTCATCAACAGAAAAATCACAACAGCAATCAGAATGAAAAATGTGTATGAAATTTTGAATCTGTACACGTAACATTCTATTGCATATGAGATATTTTTTAATAATTTCATTCTTTGACAAAACGCAAAACTTCGGGGGTGCATGAGTTTACGTATAAGCATGATTATGATCAGTAGTATGCAGTCTTATTCTTTTTTCACTTTTCAGACCTCGTTCGAGCCTGAAATATTATGTTCAGCTGCTCGTTTGCTGTTCACATGGAATGTATTTTCCTGTTAAGGTGGCGACTGACTTGTAACATTTGCCTGTAATGCTCACGCTCGCGGGCGCTCCATCGTGTTGTCGGTTTTTTCGCGAATCCCTTTGAGTGTTACATTACAAGTCAGTCAGTCAGTCGAGCGGCGTCGTAACGAGCATTCACGAGTTCTTTAGATAAGAGTAGCGTATTAAATGAAACAAAGATAACACAACCTCCACGTCCGACATATTGAATGAAATGAATGGAGCACACACGAGCACAGTCGAGCCGAGCGTTCAAAACGAGCATTCGATACACCACACCAGTTGTGGTGTAATGTAACATGCTCGCCGCGAATGTTACATTACGAGTAAATGTTACAAGTCAGTCGCCACCTTTACAGTTTGAATATTTTAATGTTTAGAGCTCTGTTTGTAATATTCTGTCTCAGAAACGTCCTGAAACAACAATCTTCCAACATCAACTTTTAAGTGACATGTTTATTTATTGTCTGTTACATAAGAAATTAGATATTGTTTTTGTGAGTCTGTTAATTTATAAATTGGTTGATTAATTATCTGTGGTAAATAAATAACTAACTAACTCTATGGAGTAGAATACTTTATGAGAAGCTGGTAGTACTCGTCTAGTAAAGAAATTTCTTCCCCTTATGGAGCTCAAAATTTCATTGCCATTTTCAGTTCACCAGTGGTCCTTTTATTGATCCACATGAACACTTTTTCTTGTTACCTGTTCTCAAACTGAGTTATTCCTTTAATGTGAGAGATCACATTCATACCCATACAAAACAACAGGTAAAATTATAGTTCTGAATATTTTAATATTTTTGCTTTTAAATAGCAGTTTGGAAGACAAAAGATTCTGAACAGCATGATGGGGGCATTCCCAAAATTGAATTATATTGAATTATGCATAATTTAAAAGCTCTGCTTACAGATTGTTCAGAAGTAAATGTGTTCCCTCTTAAGCGTAAATTCTTAGGAAAATTTGATGTGAAGGAATTCAGTTTAAATCTTTCTACCAAGAATTTTGGTGCTGTCATCGTAACACGTAAGAGATGTCCGCGCTCATACCAACATCCCTGGTGTTTCATGTACGAGGGGCAGTCAAAAAGTTCCCGGAATTGTGGTATAGCACTGTAATGGTAGAACATATGGCAACGCTTACCTAATCACCTTCAAAGTAGGACCCTTGCGCGCACACACACTTGCTCCATCGATCCTGCCATTGTTGGAAGCACCAGCGGAAGGTTTCATTTGGAATGTTCCGGAGTTCGGCCGTTGCATTCGATTTGATGTCCTCCATGGTTGCGAAATGCGCCCCCTTAAGGCCCATTTTCAGAGTAGGGAACAGCCAGAAGTGACTCGGAGCGAGATCCGGAGAGTATGGTGGTTGGGTGATGACAGGAATGCTTTTCTCAGCGAGGAATTGCTGCACAACCAGCGATGTGTTGGATTTCTGCAACGTAAACTAAGTTACATTCGTAGCTGACGAAAAAGCTGCAAAATGTGAGTGCAGCAAATGCTTAAATGTTCTTGGTGTTGCGGATTTTTGCGTATTTGTTGAATTTACAATCACAATCCAAGATCCTCCGTGTTCAGAATTAGTTTAAAATGTGAAATGCCTCATTGTTATAAATATATATGCATTTTCAATTTTTCACCTTGAGAAATGTGAGTAAAGGGAAAAAAAAGAAAATAAGTAAATGCAAGAATTCAAAAAGGGAATGAAATATATGGTCTCCAGAACCATTACAGACCCAGCCGGGAATCAAACCTGGGTCACCAACGTCGAAGCGTGACACGCCGCCAACTGAGCTTTTGTGGTCAGCGTAAGGGTGGTTTCTTTTGGAAGACTTATGGAACAACAATAAAGAACGTGAAAAATGAAATAGCACATTAAAAATAAACAGTGGAATATCAACGCATAATATTTTAGCTGCTAATCCGGAGCTGAATTGGACTGTAACAAGTGACCGGGTCCCAACGTCATTTAACATTTGCTTGTGATGTGCAATGAAATTTCGTATGTGAGGTAGTGAGGTTTGGTTATTGTTTGTTGTAATAATTATATTGAGTTTTAACTTCAAATATATTTTTATTTCTGTTGTTTTCTGTGGTATGGTGTTTTGTATTTTAAAGATACATAATAAAAAATTAATTTAGTTTTCTGAAATTGAGTTTGTGTTATCAGCAGCCAAAAAATTCATTTTCATTGCACCATATGAACGCAAAAAGTACCATCAACATTTCATCCTCTCTTGGGACATGCCTGTTCAAGTCTGTATAAGAAAGCAGCAGGTTCCACTAGAACATTGGTAGAATTGTTTTTATTGATCCTGAAGTTGACGCATTGAAGATGGAGTAAAATTATACATGTGCTGGGGAACTCATTTATTAATAGCTTGTTTTGATTAAATTAGGCCTAATTGCTTTGGATCATTATGAATTTCATCCAATTTGCTGAATCCTGTAGTTGAGTTGTAAGCATTCGTGCTTTATGTTCGTAAAGGTCCCAGCTTCGAATCTCGTCAAGTATGTTCTGCTGAGTGAGTTTGTATGATTTTCGTCAGCCCCTCGGTAAATCCTTAGGTAGTGCCTTAAAATAGGTCATGACGTCTTTACAAGTTCTTTCCAATTTATCAGTCACAGTCACCATTCTGTACAATTGATAACCTTTTTTAAATTACCTGAAAATAATTAAATTAACAAGTAGTCTTTCGTTCATGACAACGAAATGACTTTGGGGGTAGGGGGTCATCAATCATGATCCTTACAGCAGCAAAACACTTTAACTCTGTTATTGTTCTGTGTTTTTCTTTACTGATTTCATGTTTACACTTTTTTCGACATTTCATGACTGCCTGTTCTGCCGTAATAAACAAATATGGCGAGAACCTCGCTTTCGGGAACACTGGGGGAGTAAGACCAGCCTCAAGCTCGTGTCTAAATTGTAATAATATTTATACATTTTTTTAAAAAATTATTAGCCTGATTTGAAAGGACTTTCCGAAAAGTGGTTTTCGTTCCCTGAAGGTTTATGACTTGTTGCATTTTATCCACGCATTTTTGAATTCGGATCTTTCACTGGTATTAATCTTTATTGAAGTCTGTCGATGTTTCTATAACTGTCAGTCGAACTTTGGTTGTCAGAAAAGTCCTGAAATATAAGCCCGTTTAAGGGTAAGGGATTTTTTTTGTTAGACAAACGTCTGGCCATTCCCTCACACCAGTTTGGGTCTACCGTAAAATTAGTAAGAAAACGTTCACTTTTTGATAACAGTGCCAGAGTTCCTGGCCTTAGCTTAGCCTCTTGGATGGTATAAATAGTGTCCACTGCAACACTGCTTTTACTCTCGTTAGGCCAAAAGATGGAAAGTGATGGTGAAGTGTACTGGACTGTGTACCCTGTGAGATCTGAGATTTTCACGGCGTTGAAAATGGTAACTGTCTTCTAGATTATGACTTCGTGTAATTTACGATCGAACTAATTCAGTATAGATTCTGGTGGTTGGACTTTGTTTTAGCTGTGTTCAAAATTTTGTGTTTTGCTACCAGATGTCTCCGAAATGGTATTTTCCCTCGATTTCTAGACCAAATTTTTTGCATTGTCACCGCCCTCATGTGTGCTACATGTTTTGTCTACCTCATCCTCCTTCAATTTAAAAATTATAAAGTTCCTCGTGATGCAATTTCCTCTTATCCTCCTTATACTTTCTTTCTTCGGTCGATAAATTTTCTCAGATATTCAGAGCACTATCTCACCAACGACCTTTTAATTTTATCCCATTTATGACATCTTCAAAAGTGTTCTGCAGGGAACCTGGAGGGGCTCATTCACTCTTTGTTAATTTTTGGCTAATTATCTGAGCCCTTTGGTATCAGCACAGAAAATGTCAAATGATTCAGGCGATACGACAGTTTCAAAATATCGATACGTATGCATCCATCCCTACTTCCAAATGCCAACACAAAAACAAAAATTAGTTCCTTGTTATCAAATTACTAGCACATCCCTGGACTTTCTGTCAGTAACAAACTCTACCCTCTTAAGAGCTGACTTGACAATTCCTTAAATTCGCGTGTTATTATAATTCAAGAAAACTATACGGTTTTTGCATTAAAACATTGATTTTCCAGATCCGTTACAAGCGATTATTTATGACGACATATACCAACATGGTTATGTGTTGGTTGTGTTTCGTGGTTGAGCTTTGTTACGGTCGATCTGATTGGGACATAGCGGCGTTATAGAAAGAGGTTCAAAATGGCGACCGGATGGAACTGCACGTATCAAGAGGTGAGAAGCCGACTCACGATCGATACAGAACTTAAGGTGAGGGACTTGTTTCCTATTAAAAATGTAAGAATGAAATCACTTTAGAGAACCGCAATACAAAAATTATGTGCTATTGAGAGAATTTAACTTAGTTCTATGCTGACATAAACCGCATGGTCTGCATAGAAACACTGTACACTACGTTCAGTAAACATCCGTTGAATACGTCGTGTTTAACGATGAAATAGCACATAATTATCGTGATAATTGTTTCTTGTCTTCACCTAAACATGCCCAGATATATATACGAGAGTGTAATCTTGTAGAAAGACGTGGGAGGTTAAGGTGCCGAACTGTATTGATTGACACTAAATAAAAGAAAATCATATGCAAGTAAGTTGGCGTAAACGTAACAGTAATTAAAGTTGCAATAGTTATTTTTTCGTATTTCCACATTATAAATCCAACTTAATAAATGTAGTAACCTACATGAGATTGGAATGAAATACGAGTCAATAATTATACGGCGAGTTGTATCGATATTTAAGGTTAAGTCAGTGTTTATTAAATTATACCGCATATAATGCAGAGGCTAGTACATATTTGTGACGCTAAATTAATTATATAGATAGTGTGGCAGTACAGTACCAAAGTCGTGAAAGGTTTACACGGTGTTTACCTAGGTATATGTGTAAGACATGACATCCTTAATTCATATGTTTTGGCATAGGAAGTACACTATCGATTCGAAAGCCAACCTTCATTACTCTCGACTAGTGTGCCGTATACTAGAGCCGCGATGAATTGACGACCACGGAAGGAAAAATTAAGCATGGAATTGTGATGTTGGTTCAAGATTTCCAATTTGCTTAGAGAATACACAGAATTATCCTGAGAATCATACTAATCAAGTAAGTACTGCATTGTGTTATTGAGTGTTAAGGCATGTGTTACATATGGATACCATTGTGTTTAAAAAGATTAAACTTTATTAAATAGAACATTGAGAAGGTGGAAAGATACTGCGATAACAATTAGGAACATGCAGTGGCAAATACCTTCATCTTTAGGTTCCCCCAACGCAAGCTGAACATAGGTTATGTTGACCGGAAGGAGGGGATGCTATAAATCAGTGTAGGGGAATTGACTGCAGATAGTAGGTACGGTTCGTGTAACTTTTTTGTCTGCAGACGGGCAGCATAATATTACCAAACCACAGTGTGATGCTCAAATATATTACGCCTTTGAGTCAAAATAAGGGCGTCAAATTACTGCTGCAACGATAATATAACCTTTAATAAAACATGACTGAAAGAATATATAACGTCAAAATATGCAAAAATAAAAATGAAAATGTACAACATTGCCTCCAAATATAGTATGGAAAAAGCAGAAACAGTGCGCATAAAACAATAATTAAAAATTTATACATGTATATCAAAGAGTTACATCAACCGCACCTTTTCGTTGATAACCTATGGAACACGATGTGACATAATATTGAATGCATAACCAGTTAAATTTGAAAGCAAAGCATTACGCAACACAAAGAAAACTCTCCACAGCCTATTACAAATCATAGAAAGTAACCCTGCAGAAAAAATGAACTAACTACTCTACACATAGGCTGTTTCTAAATACACGGTGGTTCAGAAGAATACTTACAGTAACAGGAGGTTCCGAAATTCCGGAATTGACATTACCGAATTATAGATTCATAATATTTAAATAATCAAAATATATTCCATGTGTATTTTGTGACGTTTAATAGTTAGTACGTTATATTCGTATTGGAAACAATTATAGCCTGATTTTAAGGGGACATAAACGAAATTTTGACTTTCATCTCAAAGCGTAGGTCCACTTCACCATAAAGGTTTCGTTATTGTTTATTAAGCTACTTCCTGTAGATGTTTCCGCTCCAGCGAAGCTCTTGTTAAAATCGTTCTGTCCGTCCTTTAGCCTGTCCGCATGAAACAACTTGAGAACAACTTAATAGATTTTCGTGAAATTTTATATTGGAGAGTTTTACTAACATTTGTTGACATGTTCTAGTTTTGGTTAAAATTAAACAAAAATAATGGCCACTTTACAGGGAGAACTATATGCATGATCTGACGCTTTTACGGCGACTAAGTATAATGAGTTATTCTTGGACTACCAGCCGTGTACTGTGGCTTAATGAAGAAGACACCAACGTTTCGAGAACCATATTCGTCCTCAACTTCAGTACCCTGAGGACGAGGACGAAGATGCTTTGCCGAGCCCAAGTGACTGGGTGGAGAATCTGAAGGTTTCCTTGGTTGTTATGGTTACCGAAGTTAAACTACTTAAACTATTTTATTTTCGCGTGTTATAGACGCAGTATTTATTTTGTTTTATTATGAAATTATTATCGGAGTTACGTTAAGTATTTCAAAATACGTATTTCAAATATGACACATTCATTCATTCATTCTTTAAGGCATATAATAATAACGGTTGTAGTGTAGATTTTAGACACTTAAGTGACAGGAGGAAAATATCGAAGTTATGCTAAGACTGAACTTGGAATTCCCATGTTCTGTCATTAACACTGAGTTAATTCCAATGACCAGTGACCCAGTAAACATACTGGCGCGAAAGTGCGAACTTATGTCGCTATGTAACCTATGATGGAATCGCTGAGGGGGAAAAAGCATGACGTCATTACACATGTGACGGGTGCAATTAAGCGCTTAATATTGTACTCTAATGTACGATCAGCTTGATACAATGCCAGTGCAAGATTGGACTCTACAGCTGGAATGGTTCACGTGCAATGACCATTTGAAATCGTCTTATGGTAGAAACTCACAAATAAGAAATTTTATAAAAATCATCACACCAGTAGAGGCCACCACCATCAATTTACCTTTACCTTCTTTGTTACCAATGATAATATTAAAAGGATATGAAACTTTGTTTTAGGCAATTTTTTTTTGTAAAATATAATAGAGTAATATGGCCCACGCGCGATTTATATGCTCAGGTTTCAGGTTGATGGCGATAGGCACGTGGCGTTTTTGTGATTATGCATCATAAAAATATCTATAAATTCTGTGTGAAACAGTTTTATTATAATGAAAGGTTTTGTATGTTAATTATAATCAATTGACTGTATAAGACAATGACGTCATATCTGACAAATACGTGCAATGTTATCAGATCTCTATCAGTGAAAATTATTTACAAACCGAAAAATACGTATGTTTCTAAACTTTTGGCTGGCACTTTACTTTTATTTCATGTTTGGTAAGAAATGAGTTTGAATTTTGACTGAAGCAGGATGTCCTGATTGAGCTGTTATGTGATTTTGGTTTTAAGTTTCTGGATTTGAATGACGGGATAATTCCGTAACGTACGAAGTCTGACGGACAATTTCGTAAACAAAATAGATTTTTACTACCGTTTAATGAATGTGGTAATCTTCATAACCCCCTTCTTATAATTCCATATATCGTCCACCTACAGTTAACAGCCATAAGTTAACCAACCATCTTTTATCAGCAGTAGGATCGAAAAACATCTGTCCAGTACTAGTTAAGTATGGTTGATAAAATGTAATAAAAACTAGTTTGTTACTTCCAAAACCTAGCCTTTTCACTTCATACTCTTGTTAGGATACATCGTTGAACATAATTTTGCGAGTGTTCTTTCTGTAATGTCATCACATATTTTAATGTTTTCAGGTGATTAAAAATGGGCCCGTTTCAAGGCTAGTACTAGTTTCGGGATCATAAAATTGTCACACGGAGCCAATTCAGTCGAGTGCGTTGGAATCTCAACATTAGTATTTGTTTCTTGGCCAAAAGTTGCTACAGCGAAAGTGATGTATGTGTGTGAAGGCACATTGTCACGCTGTTTCTCGACTCTTGCGCTGCGTAAACCTTCCAGACTTAGAGGTTAACTCTTGGCTGACTTTCGGAAGAAAAATTCTAAATGGACAGATAATTCCTTTGGTGGTCCTATCAAAAACACAGCAAACCATCGTGGTTTTTGATACTGGTATAATTTTGGACAAGAGACTGTGGACTTCAATGTTTTTATTTATAGTCTTCCAGAAAACATGAAAAAATTACCTTATTTTTAACTAATCAAATGGCAATCACAGTGAAACACGTGCTGCAGCTACAAAACAAACAGAATCCCAACGATTGCCAGTTATTGCACATGAACGATAATGAGGTTAGTTAACTCTTAGACCTCATGCGCCATAATTATATTCTCATTTGGCTGTTTTCCGACGCAGATTTCTAAATTTTCTTGGATCTCTTTTAGTATGCGTAAATTCTTCATTTGTTAGCCAAGTAACCTGAGATTGTACTAAGAATCGCTGCACACGAGCCTAGTCTCATAAGTCAGGAATAAATGTGCTGGAAGATGTTCTGTACAGTAGCCTCATAACACGTGACATTTGGGTTATTTTTATTTCTTGAACTCTGATTATTGTCAAGGCCATTCATCGGCAGTCAACATTTCGTGGCACAAGTAAACATCGCAGTTTATTAGTACGTATATCGGCGATTCTGTAACTCGAGAATCGTCCTGGAGGGACTGTAAAGTAACACGGGATAATCAGATTAATTAACTCCCTCGTTAGGGTGGCTCTCTTCCATATTTCGTGAGGTTCGACTCAATTATAGAATTACACATAGTGTGCGGCCCTAAATATTCCAATTTTAATACATTTTATAGTACCAGATGCATGTCAAATAGCTACTTGTGAAATATGTTGTAGATTTTAACTAAATGGAACGGAAATGTGTTTCAGTGAAATTCATATTTGCGGGTGATTGTGGGAAAATAGAGAAAGTGAAAAAATTTCCTTAGCTGAAGCCTGTGATCAGTGAAAGTAGGCAGTTATGATTTTCTCCACCCATGTAATGGCTCGCGGAATGGTCGTCTCCTTTTTAATCTGCCTGAAGTAGACACCGAGTTTAATACGACTGGTGTAGGACATTTTTGAGCAGTGTTTAGTTAACTGAACCCGGAATATCATCACAGTGACCGTAGAAGTCCATAAGCCAAATTACACTTTTAACATTATTCTTCTGTCTACATCTAAGTTTTCTCTTACCATGAATATTTTCAACTAAAAAACATTTATATTTCTATATGCCCCGCCCGCCTGAGCTTTCTTAATTTAATTAACATGATAATACTCTAACTCACAAGATGAAGAACAAGAAGTAAGCTCCTCATTATGATTTTTTCTCAAATTCTCAGTTACTAAATATATCTTTAGGTTCAGAAATTATTTGTAAAACTTTGTTCTTAGGATATGAATGAAGATGGCTGTCTTCTGGGTTGTAGCGTTGTGTGGTCTGGTAGAAGTTTACCGACGTTACAGAGGTCCTTGCTGCCTCCATCATCAGGGCGATGATGGAGGCAGTACCTCTGAAATGTCGGTAAACTTCTACCAGACTACAACCCAGAAGACAGCCATCTTCAAATTCACAGCCGTGAAAACCTCAAATTTGACGATGTGGGTGAAATTTATTTCAAGCTGTTCATGATCTAGTATCTGTTTTGGAGAGACTGAGAACAATGGATTGTGGCAGAGGTTTAAGTTTAAGGTTTGCATTTCAGTTTGCTTAGTCACCCTTAAACATTCTTTCCCGTCCACTCACCAGTGTTCTAGAAATAGCCTGAACCTACATCATTGGTTACTAACCCAAGAGCCGCGTTGTCTTTGCGTGGTATGTGATGGAGTAGTACATCGTAGAAGGTGTAGAGTAAGACGTAAAACAGTGAATTGTTTCCAAACTAGTGAAGGATGCGTCACTTGCTTACTACTGTCGTGGTCAGCACAACGCAATTTGGAAGGACATTTCGTTCCCAGTACGGGATTCGTTATTTTAAAATTGATATATCTATAACACAAGCTGTCATCGGACTGTAAGCACACGAAATACGGAAGTAAATGTCATTAAACAGCCCCAATTTCATGGAGCAGAGTCCTTGCGAATTAACTAGTTGTTAGACAATAAAAAATTCTCCGCATTATATGGAACACTTTCGTTCATTATCGTATTCATAAGAGAACGTAGACTGTCGCTGTGCAGAGCACGACGAATCCAGTCCACAACCTCCCACCTTATTTCCTATCCTCCCGTTTACGTCCAGGTATTTCGAGTGATCTCCGTTCTTCCGGGTTTCCAACAGAAGGTAAATGTTATAAAAATCAGCTATCTGTTTTACATGGTATAACAGGAAAATAAAAACAATTATTCTTGGAACGTCCATTTAAAGGGGTCACTTGGATGGAGGCAGTATGTTATCCAAAACCTTAGTATCTGTTTACAAGTCCACACGACGTTACAACCCAGAAGATGGAGGCAGTATGTTATCCAAAACCTTAGTATCTGCTTATAAGTCCACACGACGTTACAATCCAGAAGATGGAGGCAGTATGTTATCCAAAACCTTAGTATCTGCTTACAAGTCCACACAGCGTTACAACCCAGAAGATGAACATTGACATCCTCGCTACCGCGAGAACCCCAAATTCCACACTGGCTCGGGGCACGGGATAGTTGTAGGTTCTTGTACTGATGATCAGATGGCGCCATCAGATCCATGACGACAGAAAATGAGTAGCAGCGTCTTAGGAACGATTATGCACGAAAATTGATATGCGTATTCATTCGAATTACCGTAAGTGTGCAATTGTGTCATAATTTATTCTTGTTATCTTTCGCCATATAGGCACGCAGTTTCTTGACCCAGGGACTGCCACGTCTAGACCGGTTATGGGTTCATGAGTCTCCTGTCCACTGACGACCGGGAAAAGAGCCGCCAGAGTGAGAACCTAATCACCCCCAATCTAGTGTCAAGGCTAAGAATGCGTGGAGCTGTATATCCGCCACCACACACGTCTCCGGGCGTGGTGTTAAGCCACGGTCCAGATTCCACTTCATCCGTATTCTGCAGAGTTCTAACAACTTTCATGTTTTGTTTAAAAAGTGAAGCCTGTCTGTTATTCGACCACATTAGTACGTCACCAACAGAAGTTTAATGTCAGCATGATCTTCTTGAACTGTTTCGGATCCACTCATACCTTCCTCCGCATTCTATTAACCTTACAGACCGAAGGTGCTATTGTTCCCCGCTGTAGGCATTCCACACTATCATTCCCTATCGCTCGTTTTCCCCTCTTATAACTTCCTTTATTTATATTCGCTGTTGCTGAGGAAGTAAAGAAAAAAGCAGAGTATTTAATCAGACCTTGTGCGCGGCTGGCAGTCGCTGACGGAGGGGACCGCGTCCAGTCGAGCGCCAGGCGATAACTTGTGTGGCAGTCAGTAGCTGCTCGTTCGGCGACCAGCAAAGCAGCAGAATCGTGCGAGTGCGTGAGTGTGTGTGTGCGTCATGGAGAAACACGAGGAAAACCATATCGGCGAGAGTCAGAAACACGAAGGGACCTCAACTGTACCACCAGATGGTGGCACCAGGGCATGGCTTGTGATGATCGCAAGTTTCCTTTGCAATGGAATCCTATTTGGAGTCATTAACACGTACAGTGTCATCTATGTGGACTTACAGAAGAAGTTGGAAGATAAAGGTATAACCGAGGCGTCTTCAAAAGCATGTAAGTACAAATATTTGTAATTCTTACTTTTTGTTCGGTGGTTGTGAGTTTTTCATGTGTTTGCTGAAATTTTTACGACAGATATTTTATCTGTGTTTGCCAGGTGTTCGTACACCAACGTTTGGGAATCCCAACTGTAGTAACATTAGAATTTGGTTGTAAGTTTTAAAACTCCGTTAATTTCATATCTATTTTGTTTTATTATCAACATTTTTAGTGTATAAATCGTACGGTATCAACAGCTGTGTAGAAAAACTAACACCTGTTTCTGTAGTAACACAGGGGCATGGCTCTGTTTATTGGCGGGAAATGAAGACAAGAAGTAGAAACTGTAGATGGTATAGGCAAAATGGTGACCATCTCCGACGTGCTGGGATCTTGATTTATGAAATACTTAAAGAAATCCATGGTTTGTGTTAGGTCTTCCAGCTTTAAATAAATCCCAAATGCAGACGAGGTTGTCAGATAGGGGCGAAGAGGGATGGAATAATGGATTATATTGAGTGTTGAAACTATAAATAAAGCAAAGCCAATGCTTGCCATGGGGAAAGATTGTCTTAGGGGTGCTAGATCTGGTAAATATAAGCACAACTCAGAAAGTGTAAAGAACAGTGCGTTTTGTTCGGTTATGTGACTTGGAGATTTATTCGCCGTTGTGAGACTCTGAAATCTCACCGATATTTAAATAATCTCGAAATCAAAGACACGTCAGGGCGAGAGTTATCTTCGTTTATGCTGGGATCCGAATTAAGAGGTTCTTATACTGGCGAGAGAGTTATCGTGGTTTATGCTGGGTCTAATACATTTAACCCTGTAAAGCCGAAGTCCATCTTTGTAATACGTATTTAAGAATTAGGTACGTACCTCAAATAAAATATTCCCCATTACAAAGATTTGCTTGTTTATGGCGTTTAAGGAAATAATCCGTGTTTGTATCGAGAATCATGCAGAAACACGTGCAGTTGTTGATACAGCAGATGGTATATACTGTTACCAATGAGCTTTAAGGGATTATGTAATAAGTTATCCGAACTACGAAATATGCCAGGAGGAATGGAGTGGTTTTTGTGCGGTTCAATAAGTGTAATATCCTAATTCAGAAGCCTGCCAGTGGGAGGGATATTGGTGTAAGTTTTAGGTATGGTCAAGGTTAACGAGGGAAACTGAATTCAAAGGCAGGTGGATTTGCTTGCCGTATTGTGAAGTGGCCCCTCGTATCTCTGATATAAATTCACTTCCTTTACGGTATCTGTCGCCTACTATTTACGAGTTGCGTGTTTCCTTCATAGTGTTTGCTCTTCCTTGACAATGTTTACCCAGAATTTCCCTCTATTTGCTTGGTTAACAAAGGGACTGTTGTTCCAATTGTACTACAGCCACTTGAATAGTTTTAGATACCATTTTACGCGTACACTTTTCGACGAGGTGCGTGGATGTGTGTGTATTCTTAATAAAAAGTTGATATTTTTTTCTTGTTTGCTTTTAGGTATGATTTGTGCTATTTAATTCTTTCACAGTTTATTTTTTAGTTTTTTACAATATAAGATTTGAAATTTTGAAGTCGGTATGCATGTGGATTGTTGTCTTCTGTGTGTAGTCGTGTAACTGCTTATCACAAGACCTAAAAGGCAACATGGTGTCACAACCCATAAGAAAACGATCCACATTATTTATAATTTTTTCTGCAAGTTATATGGTGTTGATGGTCAGTGTTAATGGTTGAGTTGTGGGCTAATAGGGACGTCATACTCGAGGTTTGATTGAGGACTCTTCTGGATGCGTATTAGACTATCTACTAGATCGAATATAATCATCATTACTGTTATCGGAAGATTGTATTCAGTTGTAACGTTTGGTATTTATTTTAATATTAAATCCAGTTGTATGTTTCGGTGCCATTTTTTAATAAACAGAATTGGGGAAGTATATTTTGAAAAGAATGAATGTATCATGGCATAAAGAGCTGTAGCTGCAAAGAACAGAAAAAACTGACTCAGGTTTGCTGGTTAGCAAGCTTTAATAGGATACTCTGAAACCAATAGCCTGGAAAACTTGAGCCGTCTTTCAGTCACCCTCGCCGCCAATCAGGTATCCGAAACCGGTTCCAACCCATAAATCTTAACGTAGGTCGTCAAAAAAGACTCTCCCGCTATGCGCCGTGTAGGCGCTCAGAGGGAGATGAGGTATAGCTCCTACTCATTCTCAACCTCAGCACTATAGATGGGGGTGAGTGGTCAGCGTCACGCCTCGGCAGCGCTTTGTCCCCGGTACATTTTGGTGGGTGGGCCCCAGGGCCCGTCTGGACGTTTAGACCAGAAGAACATCCTCCACCCCTGTCTGGGATCGAACCCCGATCGTTCAACCTCTCGTCAGGCACTATACTGACTGAGCTACCTGGCTCGCAACGAAGGTTGTTTAGTGTAAGAGCAGTTTTGGATTTTAGAATTTGTTGGTTATTTTCCTTTCTGGTATCGTCTTCGAAGCGGCAGATTTGAATATGTAGGTTCACTGTTCATTTATGCTTGAGAGTTTTCGGTTGAAAGTATTAAAGACGCGATGTATTTCTTTCCTGTAATTCATGGAAAAACTCTCGACTACCGACGTCTCTTGTATCAAAAGGAAGGCTTCTCATAACATCTTTCTCGTTTTACTGATTCCGATGATTTGAATATAACGTTACCAGTTATGGTCTTTATCGGTGGCATTTCTATGATACGAGTCTCAACTGAACTAGACTCTGCAGGCCAGCTCCTTGTCTAACTTATATGCTTTCCGATAATGAAATAAATAAAATGGAAACCGAATCATCCTGTGCTTCAAACAGCCACACACCTAGGCGAGTTGTAATTATCATGATGCACAAACTTTCTTCCGATGTGACTATGTTACTTGGTCTATAAACAGGGAATGTAAATATGACTGTTTCTGCCCTTATGATAGAGGCAGCAAGCACATCTGAAACATCTGTAAAATTATACCAGATTCACGTCGTAATATTCCAGAAGATATCTTCACACTTGCACCACGAGAACCTGAAATCTCACCAGCAGGGAATGTGTCTGAGAAGAAAATGTCTTGGGCTCAAGGTCTTTTTATCGAGGCTACAGGTCTTCAGTCGAGGGTCCAGTGACATTGTTCGTAATTCCAAGGTCTGGTACCTGGTCGAAAGCCATTGCGAAGTGTCCATGTCATTTGTCTCAAGGATAATTGTGCCTATATCGAGAGTAACTGGTTCAAGATTATTGATTCCATATTCAAGACGATTGGTCTAGGTCCCGTCGTGTCTAACGGGGCGAAGGCGTTAGATTTTTTAGGCTATGCATACATTTCCTAATTTGTTATTGTACTGTATCTATGCTGTTTTATGTTGTGTAGACTTCAAAGAGTGGACTGAGGATGTAGTTTTAAATTTTATTGATGAGTAAAAGGAATACAAAGTCTTTATGGAACAGTGCCCCTAGACCAAGACATTTTAAAGACTACAGCGTCTTATTATTTCAGGGCCGGTCTTAAATAAGGAACTTATCAAAGTCTGAAGGAGATATCCAGCATAAATTCTCGGAATATAAATTGCGTAATCTTGAATCGTTGAAGTTCCACTAATCTACTATTGCAGCGTATGCACTATTATAGCCCACTACGAGCCTCGTTTTTCTGGATAAGTTTATGCCAGTTTCTCGAATCTTTTTCGACGGCTTCTCTAAGAACGAATACACAACGACAAATGCAGCCCTCGCGATTATAAGATCATTATCACATAGTATGTTGTTCTATCAAATTGACCACGTCAATATTTCTCAAGACAGAAAACTTAAGCGTGTTCTGCAGGCGACTGAAAGAGCTGAGTGGAACACTCAAAGGCCCAACTTACGCATCCATTTGACAATATCCACCGATATAATTGTGTGAGGGTGAATTTCGTCTACGTCATTAGCTTGCGAGTAGAAGGAAAACCAAAAATATTACTGACACAGGAAATGAGGCAGCGAAATATAACGTATTATCTCTTGCCAGTCATCGGATTGATCCATTGTAACGGTCGTTTAACGCATCGGTTTCTTCTGCCTACGCGTCTGGTTTATGATCTGATTCCATTTGTGTTGTTGCCATACGTTCAGAATATTTGTGTGCAGTGAATACCAGCACTTGTGTAACAACGAAACATAACACTCAGTGTTTGATTGTTACAAATGTTGCTAAGATGTGATGGGACTGTTTCTTGCGGATGCATACTACGGCTACCAGCGAGTGAGGTGGTTACTTTGGGGAGAAGGAAATGCAAGAACTCCTCCTGCATGTTTACAATGGAATTAAACTAAAATGAAATGAATTGTAGCTGTACTTGAAGTCATATTACGAGTAGTTGTCAAATCACGACGAGTAGCGATCTCAAGTTGGTCTGGACGTATCCTAACTTAAACAGTGACATGTATGTTCACACCAAGCTGCAATGACGTAACGTTTCTTTTTGTACTTATGAAATGAGGCTAACGAAGAGAAGACGTAAAGGTTCTTTGTCCTCAGATAAATTTAGGAGATCCAATTGTGTACCTTCTAGTTCCATTCCAATTTGAATGCGTGTTGCAACGTGCAGTCATAAGGTCAAAGATTTTAACTACAGGTATTAACAAATGTTTTTACAATCTCTTGCTACATTGTGGAGGAATAGGGTGTGGTAATTAAAACTAAGTGTTTTATGCTCAGAATAACATGTTTGAGTTTTTCTTTGTTTTCTCACGAGGCCAACAGGAAGTTCATGTTAGAAAGGTTATTTACGTCTCGCTAATGACAACTGAAGACTGGTTCCAAGTTAAGAACTGCCTTAAGGTTTCCCCATAATTTCTATGTAGACGTTGAAATTATATTCGTATTGATGATTATGGATTCTGACATCTTTAAATTTCTGAAACTTTCGGGAAAAAACACAGTTTATAAATAAATGTGTATCTATACAAAATAATTTTAAAATGTTTCAAAATATTTCTGTTTGGGAACAGCAA